ATATGTTGATTTTAATTAGATGTAAGTGATTCAACGTTTATTTACTTTTGTATTACATTTGATAAACACATTTTTGATTGGCCTGTGATTATACTAATAATCGTCATTTATTTATTATTTATTTAACTGTTAGTTGTTTAGGAATCCCTAATTAAAATGCACGAATTGAGTCATGGAATTTTTGGGACGCAACTCGTGTGCTTCCCATGCCATTACCTTGCTATGTATTTTGGCAGCTCCAAGGTTCGCCAATCGAGTGTGATGAATAATAATAATAATAATATATATCACGACGTACAAGCAGGGGTATTTTAAACTTGAAATATTTTCAAATTAAAAAAAAAAATCATAACTTATACTGGATCAAAACATATACACCGCTTATAACTTATAAGTAATGATTTGATGTAACAAGGTCAGGTTAGATATTATTATAATATGTTCATCTAATTTACAGTTGGTGTATAACGTGTACACACAAATTGTAAGTGTAATCAATTTTGTTTTCAACATATTAAATTTATAAATAAATAAATAAATAAATGTTATATATTTCATGTTATAGCCGTTTACGATTCTATACTTTACGAGTGCCAAATATTAATATGTGCATTGTTTATTGTTTATTATTTTTTTTTATCAATTTTTATTGCTATATTAACACTCAATACGGTTTATGTGAATTGCGAGAAAACTATTTACGACCTATTTTCCATTAAATAGGTATGCGTTTAAAAAATAAATTGGTCTGTGCGATTTTTAAATTTGGTATTAGAACCTTATAATAATAAGGGTTTTTTCGGTACCGGTGTAGGTGTGGTTCTTAGAAAAAAAAAAATAATATAGTAAATCAAAACGATCAAAGCTATAATATTGCCTTTACTCCTAGGTCCCAGAACAAATGTTTTATGGTTCCAAACCACTGCCGGGCTTAATTCTAATAAGTAATAATAATGTCTTTAAATAGTTGATGGTGTTAACTGGGAAAAATAGTATCTTTTTAAATGTATTTTCAAAATGTGTGTACATAAAATATACATTCACTCGCATAACGAATAAGGGCAGCGTAAAAGGTATTTTCTCGAGTTAAAAAAAATAAAAATAAAAATATAATAAAATCCCGTGACAAGTGTCTACAACGAAAACGGTGTGCTTCCGGTCCCCACGCGCGCGCTGCGGTAAAACACTCGAAATCCCATGTACTCCAAAACGTATATAATTTCACCGTCCCCCGAAAAGGTTTCCTGCTGCAACCCTTCGGGACGCTAAATACTCGAAACACTCGGACAGTTATGATTTACATCCTTTTTGGCTTTTCCCACCCCGTTATCTTCACGGCGCTAAACCGGCCCCTTAGGGGTATGTTTTCGTTATACACGTGAGAGTAAAATTGATAAATATATATACCCCAAACGTTAAATTTACATCTGTGCAAACAATCGTAATAGTATACACCACTGCAATCGTATTGCAAAATCGGAAATATTATAAAATATAATATGCAACTTCATATTGTTATAAAATGTACGAGACAAACCACACCGTATATTATTCGAATACTTCAAACAATGCATAGCCTGGGCAAGTTAATGACCATTTTTAATTGAGTTAGTTTAAGCTGTAAGAAAATATTTTGAAAAGTTTAAAGTTACTAGTTATCGTACGTTTTGCTTTTTTTAAACGCAGTCAAATTAAAAGTAATATGAAAACTTGCAATTAACCTATTAACTTAAGCTATTTTTTAATATTGTTTGAATAGCCGAATTTATATGGTTTAAAATAATAAAAAGTAAATGTTTATGCAATATTTATCATCAATAGTAATTGTATTACCTTTGTTATTTATTATTTAATTATCTATAAATTAACGTAACTTAGATTTGATTAAAAGTAACTCGTTATTTATTAAGTTTATTTATTAAGTTAAACGCTTGGGTATATCGCTGATGTCGATTTCGGTTGTTGCTTGCGATATGTTAATAAACATATTTTAACAAATATATTCCTTGCGTACGTATATATAATATATAGGTTAAAGCGTACGTAATTATTGTTGTGCACGCAGTCAAATACAATAAGCCATCGACGAGATCGGGGGTTAGTGATTTTTATTATCATATTTTCGTTTCGTTGCATCACCACTGCAAACGTTCTAAAATATTTTTTAAGACTTAAGTACTATGTTTTTTATACAACGTGCATTAGTTTTTTTTCGCGTGATTCAGTGTATATACCTGTGTAGTTGTACAACAGGCGGCTTGGTATAATGGTAACAATATAAAATCAAGCGTTTTAAACTAAATATAGTTGCTGTATTATTAAAACTATATTATTATAATTGATAAGTACATAATAACATGGCAGTAAAAATGGGGTTAATTCGATCGTGTTACGCTCGTTGTTCTTAATTTTAGTTGCAATTTAAAACGTATATCCTCTCGCGTTGCACGAAAGGTTTTTCGAAGATTTAAGCGCACAACCCGATTATTACTATTAAAATGTCGGTGGTCATCATCGTTTTCGTTATTCCTATGTTCACAATGACATTATAATATTACTAGACATTATACTGTTTTACGACATATTATTATCTCGTCCCCGTGGATTCTTGCGCTAAATATTACTTAATAGCACACTATTTCAGTGTTTAGGCATGTATTTTGTGGAAAGCTGGCCGACCTCAGCACTGATGGAAATCTGCAGGACCATTATATAATAATCATATACTATAATAAGGTGATTTACCTACCATGCTCACCCCCATTTTTTTTGTTTTATAATGAATTTATTCAAATTCTGATTTTTTTAATTTTTAAATAGGTACCCATGTACTTAAAAGAATAATTAACTAATCCTTAATTACCATATTTTCAAATTCATAAGATTTTGTGTACCTTCTACTTAAAGAATGTTCTGTGGCAATACACATTTACGACAACCCCCCAAATTTTACTGTAAATTAATTAGTGAATATTTTCTTTAAATTTAAACGAGTAGTTTCTCAGTTATAAAAAATGTTTATGATGCTAAATATAATAATCTGTAAGAATGGTTTAAAAAAATATATAAGATAGATGTAGTTTTGGATTTTTGAATATAGTATTTAATTATATTTAAAAATATTATGTTGATATAGTAATATTACATTATTAAATCACCATAGCTCCTTAATTTTTCAATTCCATTATCGACCTATTATTCTTAGTAGATAAAGTTAAATAACTCATAAACTGCATCACGTTCAAAGTTTGATTTCGATACGTCATAATTTTCAGAAAATGTATTCTCTAATTTATAAATTTACAGTAGAAAAGGCGTATTCTCATTTGAAAACAGACGTCTGTATATTCACAGGACAATCCTTAAGTAGTACAATAAATCTCAATAGTTTGAAATATGGTCCTTATGGAAGTAAATAATAAATTTAAAAATTCAAAAGACCAGATTTTGAAGAACTGTATTATTAAAGAAAAAAATGGGTGTGAACATGACCTGTAGCGACCAATATAGAATAACAATCATTAATCGTCTAAATCCACGGCGTGAATCTCATCGTCATCAAGTATTCGAGTTTACCGCGGTAAATCTTTGGCCAACTTTTTAACTTTTCAAATGCATTTGAAAAATAATATTGGTCGGTATTCAAAATTGAATGAGTTTCATACCCATGAAAACAGCGATATTGTGTGTAGCCGTTTGAAATAAGTTAAAAAATACCTAAACTAAAAATCACAAAATATATAACGCACTTCATGACTATAGTCGAAATTTTGAACGTATGTTGTGTGTTTTACTGTCTATTGATGTGTGTTTAGAATTAAGTACGATGGCGTGATAATATATGCGGGGTCCTGCGCTGTGGCTTACGGTCGATAAAAATCTCTATATTATATTGAGTTAACTTGCAGAAAAAATATTGTTCTTTTCATTCTATGCCCTCGCCACTCTGGGGCGCTAAAAAATATGGCAATATAGGGGAGATTTCTCCCTACAATACCTCGGATAAAATGTATGTATATAAAATATATATGTACGCATTGTATGTATATGCTTGCTTGAATCTTGACGCGACGTGGCGTATTAACCTGCAATTACTATCGATAATTCCCTCTGATAAACACAGAATTAACCACTGTCGGTAAATATGCGGTTTGACGAAATCCCCTCGACGACGTCGAGTGAAAAAAAAAATGATTCCGTAGTAGGCTTATCGCCGTGAGGGGGGAGGGCTTATTCGAATTATTTTTGTTTTCGCCGTAAAAATCCTCTCAGTCGCTATTATTATTTTTCTGAACCTCTTCTCTCCACGCTGAGCCGTTTTCCCCTTCTACTCGATCGCGTACGTTTTTTAAGATACCACGCACGTCATTTCCATAGTACCGCCGTCATCTCCGCGAATGCAGTAGCTGTAATACAGACTCTTTATTATAGAGTATACCCGTGTTATGATAACAATCCATCTACTATTTAATTTAATATTTAATTTATTGACATGAGTGAGAAACGTAATAATAAAGTCTCACGTCTCGGATCGAATAATAGGTATATTGGCGTTTTTCTAGGCCCCATCTGGTTGGTATATGCAAATCATCTCGAGAATATTACAATGTGCTCGTCACCTCCGTCCCGTAGCACCAACTATGGTAGGTAGGTACGTACGTTGTCCTATACGTGTCATGGCACAGATTTTCGTGATAAGATCTTCTCGACGTCGGTATGTGTTATAGTGTGTGTGTGTGTGTGTGTGTGTGTGTGTGTGTGTGTGTGTGTGTGTGTGTGTGTGTGTGTG